ACCCTCTTTCCCGACAAACATAACTCTGATGTGTCGGTACATTTCTGTTTGTCCAGTGAACATTTCCAAATAGGTGTTGATTTTCGCAGAAGGTAAATCCTCTATCAAATAAAGACAAGTTAGAATGTTAGAATTACCACTGAGTTCTATAATTGATATGTTATATCTTTGTGATACGTAAATAAGTTTATGCATATATTTGTATGTACAAACTAATTTACAGCGCGTGAAGATCTGATATGAAAAGCCCATATGCTTTATTAATCCATCTTTGACAATGACAATCACTTTCACTCTCTGCACCACGAGGTTGATGATGTATATGAAAAAAATACAACCATGATATTTACAAAAGTAATGATATTATCGTTTATTTAATGTTCAGTAATGAAAATTTTAAAACACATTTTGAATTAGTGTTGTTTGTTGTAAATATCTATTCTCTCAGAAGACGATAATTATCTAATTCGGTTTGCAAAAACAAAAAAAGCATGTTATCTGAACTATACTGATATTATCCCAATTCTACTGCCAAATATGTGTCATACCAACATATGTCGGAGACGGAATTCTTCTCATGATAGAATTAAAACTGGTCGGAGATTCCTTAAACAGAAAGCGAATGACATAAGGTGAATAATAAGCAACACACAAACTAAAATCAAACAGAAACGATTTTAAGAAAAACAGAAACCTAATTCTGACTGCGGTCATTCATACATGTATATCACTTTTTCGCAAAAATGTCATCTACATTTGTTCAAAAGTGAAATCTTAATGCAAAAACAAAATAAACTTTATGCATACTTTTATTGGATGGGAAGCCTGCATTTTTTCATAGTATTTAAGTTCGGTAAATTGAAGTAGTGAATTCACAAAAGGTAAAACAAAAATGAAACAATATCAAATTGATATAAACAATAAATGATACAGAGCACACAGCAGATACAATACCTCTAGTTGTAACTGATGCTGTAGAAATCTCATCACCTCCTTGTTATTCTTACGGCGAACATTGTCGGGCAATCCTAAAGAAATAGATGTAGGTAAATTCATATGTATTAGGTCTGTCTTTAAGACGAATGCTTTGCATTTGATCTTTGCTTTTAAATCAATCTTAATACCCTTAAACCCTGTGGAATTACCTTTATATATTGACTATTATCATTTGCAATACATTTATATTTTTTAAAAAAAATCTTTGTTACCTTGGTTATGGGATTTACGCCAGATTAGATATGTCTTCACGTCAGTAAGGTTATACTGTCTGGCTAGGTCCATTATTGTAACACCTTCACACCGAGTCTCCAAGTCAATGCCTGTAGTTCGTAGCAGTAGATCAAGCATTCGAAGGCGTTCCTCTGTATGAACAGTTTTACAGCAACGGTGGACAGCATTATAACCTCCGTTGTCCAGACATCTTCCTAGATGGAGAACTTGAGGATACCGTGCGACAAGATGTTCTAGCAAAGAAAACTGACCGTATATACCAACAACGTGGACAACAGATTGACCATGGTTGTTAGTGCTCGCAAGGTTTTCCCCGGATGCAATCGCCGCGTCAAACCATTCTTTGTTTCCCTTCCGCGCGGCACTGAACATCTCACTTGTGCCTCTTTTCCGGGAAAGATTCATGTTAACGCCTTGGTAATTCATATAAGGTATAAATCTTATTCATTCTTGTCATACAGCTCGTGTGTCGTCCTTAATCCTACAAAAACAAGATATTTGTATCATTAACATGCTTTCTTAAACTATATAGGCTATGGAATGAGAAAGCAATGTGTCGCTACTACTGCTCTCTGTGGCATCAAATACGTAAATCTCTGCAAAACTGGAAATTGCTGTAATTGAATCTTCTTTTATCTCTCGGCTCCAATGCTTGAATTGTGTCAGGTACTGGCTGTATGATTTTATTTCATTCATTACTCTGACAACAATATGTGTATTCAGCATTAATTTCGCCTGTGTTATCTGTTCAATACAGTTACAGTTTCTTTCACGTCATCGTAGTGTTGTTACTCGTCTATTACGCAGAGGCTTCCTAATCGTGAAAAATGTATGAGTTATAACAACTATGGTGACGTTTTGCTTCTTTTTGAAAATATACACCTTGGACTTCAAGCGTTTGGTGAAACGGTGCAAATTCGAATTAATTAATAATACTGATTATTTTTTTAAAATATTTTCAACGTTTTACTTAGCATTTCCTAAAATATATCAGAGTCATATGTTGTTACCATAAATCATTTATCTATTCATCTTTTTGATTATGTTTTGAACTCCGTTACATATAATACACAATAACAATTACAATTTAGTTTGTTATTAGCTAGAGAAGGATTCTTTTCAGTTCTATACACACAAGGTACAATAGGCCAAGGCTAATGACTTCCGTATGTCACGTGGCAATACCACAATACATATCTAAAAGCATTGTCGATAATTGATCATTTATTTAGGTAATATGTAGAAGTCATTGTGATCGCAATCAATGCGATAATCTTTATCACACACCCGTAACCTTTTTTTAGTTGTAAAACGTGACAACAGATTATGATTATCACATTAAATCTTCTGTTCAACGGTTGATTGTGATATCGATATATCGATACATTATTTTACCTTTACAACGTGTAAGGTTCTTTTACCTGAACCGTCAAATGTTGAAACTGCAAAGATATATTAGGTTTGGTCATTACTGAGTACTTCTTGTATAACATATAGAGGTAATCTAATAATAGTTTTAGTGAAAGCAAATTTGTTCCAGTGTGGCTAATATTTTGTTCCTTGTATGAGGTACCAGTAATAATGGATACACTAATATTAGCAATTTGGTTTTGCTGAAAACACTCTTAAATATAACGTTTTTATTTTCTTAATTATCTTGTAATTTCTTAATTGATTAAGTGTTTTGTTTTAGTTTATACATGAGTATTTAATTTAAATCAGCTATATATCTCACCTACTTAAAATAAGATAAATTCAGGCATGAAAGATATAGTGGAAAGGAAACCCATCATCACAGCAATGTCCATTATTATCTAAGGAAGTCCAAACCGTAAAACATATCCAATTATAATCAACACATTTACCGGAATGATTCAGAATTGTGGAAAAAGAGGATCGTGTCCAAGAGTCCACCACAAGCAACACAATTTCCGGAATCATTTAGAATAGAGAGTGTCGAAGACAATACAAACTTACAAACACCTATGTCTAGATGGCTTTGTACACTATCCATTTAACACAACCAGTCAGTGAATATTGTCTAACTGTTTATATAAACTCTGCTCATTATATACTTACTAACATGTCGAAAAAGTGCGTTTATGGATTAGTTTAAAACAGCCAATTATTAAGCAAAAGTGGTATTTAATACAATTGATCTAGTCACGATACATTATAACTGATACTTTGTAATCTATCGGAAGTGACAAGAGATTCATGGCGATAAAAGTTAGGTGGAAAAATACAATGTTTTAACTATTATTCTCTTAAACGTTAAATGAAAACCATCTTACGTTTTATATTTATTTTACCTTGCTTATGGCATCAATAAAAATATTAATACATTACCTTCTGTAGTGTGTTGGCTTCATTGTTGGACGGACTGGTGGCATGTCACCGTACCTACATGGTGTTTAAATTAGATTGAGTAGCACTTTAAGGACTACCTTTTCCCCCAAACTGTAAGGTTGTTTTGATGTCATTCGTATACACAACAAAGTATTAATATTTTACACTGGGTAAGTACTGAGGGAATTATTTAGGAGAATCGACATACAAATATAGGTCTTTAAGACATAGGGTTTGTTTCTTTTGTTTTGTCAATGTCTTACGAACAGATATGGTAATTAAGAATTGTATGCAACCATAAAGTTTTAAAACCCAATACCGTTCCGTTGTTGTGGATTGCGCAATTACATAATAAAAGGAAACCAAGGGGATTCCCCGAGCACTACACCAAGACGCATTCTACTGTAACTAATGGCATTGTCTACTAAACGTCAATTAAGGTGTTAACTGTTTGTTGAAATACGTCCTGAGCATTGTGTTACTGGCCATTGATATTCCCAGTTGATTTAACAATGTGTTTTTTAAACATCGTCAGGTAAAGAGTGCTATCTAAATAACAAAGCAACAATTAAGTACTAATGAGTCTCCCATTGTAATAGTACAGAGTTAGTTCTTTTACAAAGTATGAATATAATGCAGTCTGTATATTAAAGAGATAAGATAAAAGGGTTGTTCTTGCATGGATACATGTAGGATCTGGTGAATATGATATATGTGTTTCCACTTTAAGTGATACCTAAGTATATTCATTAACGAATTAAGAAAAATTAATCTATCTGATATGAAATGAAAATCATGTTTATTACATGAACGATTACTTTGTGACCGGGATTTACATGGCGGGCGAAATCGATTTAGAAGACATTGATCCTGCAAGACCAAGTGACCTTATTCTACCTGTACATCAGGTGTCGATATGTAAATTTTTCATTTGTTCATACTATTCATATTACAGTTTCGTTGAACTTAAGTATAAATGAGGACATTTTTATATGTATACCCCCCTCCTTTTTTTTTTTTTTTTGTTTTCGTCCCTTTATTTTTCTATTTGCTGTAACCCTACATGTCAAGTTTTTATTCTTCCAAGCTGTATCACCTATAAGACATGTATATGCATTTCTATTTTGCAGTATCCAGTATGAAAAATTATTACATCTATGGAATGATTGGATTAATGCACCTCCCAATGATATTTTGACATTGATTTGGAGAATCCTCTATGGCCTCTATCATCTGTAACGAGATCGAGAAGGAAAACAACAGCTGTGTGTGGCTGTTAAAGTTTCAGTTAGTCTATGCTGTAACTAATTTTGAATTTATATTAAAAGTTGTTAAAAAGTGATTATCTGTATAATCATTTATATACAATACAATCAACACTGTTTGACATTTATTATGTTTTCAAAGAAATAAGAACGATATTCAATATACAAGATTTAATATCAATCAGCAGTGTGACAATAAACATCACGTACATACAAAATATGACGTCATTCCTATTGTGACATAACAAAATCAATAAATAAGTGTACACATGTCTAATATCATTCACATTTATAAATGATCTATGCCTTCTTATTTGACAAACTAATATCTATAAGGATACATCGTTCGAATCACAATCGAAAACATGATTTAAATTAAAGTACTTAATTGAAAAGTTGAGTGATTTGCATATACATAGACCTTGGTTTATATCATCTTTGATATTCATGTACAGTTATATATATATGTATTATACGTAAAGTTCACAATTGACTTAGTAATACTGAAATATCACATTCGGTTCATTTAAAATGAAAAAGAGGACAGAGGGACGCAAGAGCCAAGCCTGTTCATATATCAATCATTTTAAATGGTCACATGGTATGATCATAGCCATTAATGATTAACATGGTCAAATAATGCAACAAAAAGCAGATGCAAATTCATGTATATGATAAATTAATAAAGAATTTGATTTGGTTAAAATGCAAACCAAAATCAAATATCTTTTGTTTCCAGCATTTTACTAATACTGTTTAATAACTGAATAACCAATATTATTGCAAATATATCGTAAATAATGAATCACTGCGTTGTTTTGCTGGATCCGGTGAACAGATTCTCATTAATAAAAAACACATCGCACTCTACAACCAGTAACAAAACAAAAAATGTCAATGGTGTTCATTTCCAAATACAGACGATTTTTTTTTAACTGTTAAAAGAGGTCAATTGGGCATGTACCGCTCACCTGTCTTGTAGCTGTTGTGTTCATGTACGACCACAGAATAGAATATTATTGAACTTTGTAAGTGACCTGAAAACGGAGAATTTGTAAAACATAGACTCTGTAGTTTGACAGCCAGCCAAACGACCGGTATCACGCATTTGTAATGTCGCTCTAGTATATGTACTTTCAGATCGTAGTTTGGTAATAAATGAAAAGTCATTTGGAGAATCTAAACCGTTTGACACCGGCGACATCCAAAAGAAGTCGAAGCATTTAATTTGAATACATTCGATAGTCATTTTGTCCAGAATGAAAAGATGATTGTTTAGAAAGAAAATAAAACGTTTTGAACAGATAACTTTCAACATACTGGTCCTCTGTAACCATCTATAATGCAACTATTATATGTTAGGGTAGATGATAATTGATGATTTGGTTTGAATTTCAAATACCATCACGATATCACACAACATTGTATTTTCTTTTTACCACAGTGTTTTGTTTTCTCGTAATTTTTCACTTTGATGGTACTTTTAAATTTTGATTTATCCTTCTTTCTACCATTTTCTCCATTCATCTGTTTTTGTTGAAGTTCTGCACTCGTATCATTACCTTCCCTTCGTAGCGTACTCATTTCAATGTCATTAGATCTATTTTTAGATTTTTTCTTCTTTTTCTTTGTTGATTTCATTCCCTTGGCTTTTTTATCATCTATCATGTCTGACGGAAGTATCTGCTGCATCGTACTTCCGGTCTTGCGAATTATATCCGGTGGTCTTAACATATTTGGATGATAGCTCTTCATCTGAAACCAAGTCGACATCAAAATTTCAACATTTATCTAATAGATAAGTTTTCTTTTTCTTTATTCACTGCATTAGTCACATGTATTTTACCTGACGCGCGTTAGCGCGTTTTGATAAAATACCTGTAAGACAATATAGTTTACACACTAGTTAACTACGAAAAGGGCAAAACGATTTCTTATAATTACGATAGCTGATTAAAAAAAACTGGGGGGAATGGTTGTAAAACTTGACGTTTACCGAAATGTAAACATCAGTCTTGTCTTGGTGATAAGGACCTGCACCCCTGAAATGTTAATGTAATTGTATAATGTTGATTCATTTCTATTGGTTGATTGGCTGATTCCATCATTCACGTTGTGATTGGTCAGTTATTCATCAACAATTAATCACCACAAGAAATATTTGAAGGATGAGCTGATAACAGATATCAAAGAGATGGACAAGCCTATATTTATATATATATATATGATCAGGCAGTGGGGGTACCTTTCAACCACTTTAACAGTCCGTGAAAATATCTTAGTTCAAATATATTGATTTCCAGTTTACCGGCAGTAAATAATAATTAAATTAAAATGAATAATGATTAAATGAAATATCGAAACTCAATCTAGACTCCGAAACAGAACAGACACGAAAACAGTCTGAACACCAATTACAAAATCAGGGGAGACAAGTCAGTATTTCACTTTAATTACATCATGTTATTATTAATGAGGAAAACTTACAAGTGTTGGGTCGCAAATATCAGTCACGTGATATGCAATCCTGCGGAAAGCGTCAATCACATTTTCACCCGTTTTAGCGCTGGTCTCAAAAAATCCAAATGCCATGTGTTTGTCTGCAAGCTAAAAGCAGAACACATTCGGTGGTTAAAATCTACATTTATCGTGTAATCTACATGTTATACAGAACTCGATTTTTGAATTTATAAAAGAATACTTCATTAGTCAAATCGAACGATCATGTCGCAATTAAGGTAAACTATAGGTAATTGCTGAAATGTTATGCCTGAGTATGTTACCTTTTGTCCTTCTTTTGCCCTCACTCTTCTTTCACCACATAGATCTACCTTGTTGCCCACTATAACTAGTGGGACAGCTTCATACTTGTTGTTACTATGAGAAACATCCTACAAGGAATAAATGTGTACTACAATTTATTATCACCGTTAGGAAGCGTATAGAACGTAAATTATTCTACAAAGGCTAGGTTTACATGATGATGATGATAATAATAATAATAAAGATGATAGCAGTTCGCTTAATGTGATTGTTTACATGAAGCAGAGTCCGTTTAGGATATAATCTTTCAAGAGAAAGTGTTCAATGTTTGTAAATTACTCCACATTGTACATTCTCTAATAGGGTATCGGTTATGTCAGGGTTGTTTAGCAATGCATTGCCTAAAGTTTATTGTTTGTATGAAAACTCTGTTTTATTGCATTATCTGTCAACGTTATCAAAATTTCAATGACTGCCAATCAAGTACAGCACGTTTGAAATGTTCAACAAATGATTCAGCACAGAATATGCGCATACGCAAAAGGAATTTATGACCTCTCAACTTTAACCAGCAGTAATCTGGTGCTTGACGAATTCCGTTCAGGGGTGTTACATTATGAAAATGTTTAATCTGATAGCTTTCACTGGAGTGATAGATAAGTAAGATTTCCTTAATCATCATTCAAAGTCTTGTCTCCCGCTTCACCTGATTTTTCCTTGTAACTCCAGGGGGATCAGTCCTGTGTCTAAAGCATGACAGATAGCACAAGCTGTTACAAACCACTTTGAAAAAAATGCGCACTTTGAAAAGAATTTAAATCGCGTTATAACTTAACCGAGTTATCTTAAATTCAAAAGTATACATAAAACTTCGATAGATAAAGACAATTCAACGCACTTTGAAATAATATCAGATGAACGTAAACCTGACTAATTATGAGGTTCAGACAACGGACTGTACATTTGACGTATTGCTAATTCTTCCCAAACTAAGTTGTGCGGAGGACTATGGCTTATTGTTTCAATTTTTTTCTCTAATTCGTCAATTTTTCCACAGCCATGAATATCGACCTGTGAAAATTTTTAATCTATAAATGATCTATCTATATATTTTCCCACTACTGCAAAACGAGTTAAACTGCAACTTCTGTTTCTTGATTAATCGAAATGGGTGTCATTTGTTTTGTCAAAGTTTGACCAGAAAGTTAATATTGCCCAGCTGCAATGGAATTTGGTATGTACGTGTATTTTGGGAATGGGATATTTATTCTACTTCAATAAAAACATATCTTAAAATCTGATTGATTGAAGTTTAGATGTTGGATTTTAACATTAGCATGTTTGTGTAATATGACATCTACAACTTCCATTTCAAATGATCGAACAAAATAACCGCTATTCGCAGCCCTTATACCAATATGAAAATCTAGTTCTTGAGATGTATCACTCTTTTCACGAAAACTCAATTTCAAAGTTAGGTGTTTTTTCTCAAAGGGCTTCCGTATTACCTAGTTTTGACGCAATTATTTCAGTTCCAAAATCATATGTTGTTACTCGAACAACTCAAAGTGCCCTGATTTGGGCCAATTATTTACGCGATTAGAAATAATATTTCAAAGTGACTTGACTTATCAAATTTTTTATACGATTTGAAAAAAAATGTCTTTTTCATCAAAATGGGTTTTGATATTATATAATAACATTATGATAGAGTAACCATATCTCGAATTGGTGATTAATTCCATACATTTCAATGGCATGTTGATGACAGCGTTATGAATAGGTTCCACAACAACCTAGAAATTGTTACTGGAGTTTATTTTGCCGAACTCTTACACTTGGATGGTTGGGGTTTAAGTTTGAATATTTGGAAATCTTTGAAGCCTTGCCTAAACCCTCACACGGCTGGTGGACATTGGTTTCCGTAACCCGCATGTCATGCTTTAGTTCACTCGATATGTACAATGTACTTGACGTTCTTGTGAATTATCAGACATACGTAAATTCTGAGATTTATTGATGAAGAGCAAGTGTACCTATCCATCTAGAATTGGCGTCATCTTTGATCCAAACTCTTAACATCAATGACGAGTCCTAGCAGGACTTAACCACTATATGATGCAGTTTCAGTCATTGATTTGAATCTAAATGCGTTATTTACTTGCGTGGCCTTTGTACGATTTTCTAGCAAGTCCCATTCAATCTTGTGAAAGGATATGTGAATATTGATGAAATAGACTCTAAGCAATGCAAGCATTTCTGTGATCCTGATATTGACATCTGATAAATGGAAAAGAAAACTAAATAATAGTTACCAATAATATGCACGAAATTGTACACAACCGATGTCGTATGTAAGAATGTACAACAGGCGAATATGTGATAACATATTTCAATACAATTTTAAGTCTAAGACACAATAGAGCAAATTAATGCATTTAATGGCATCATACAGTTATTTCGTATTGGCATTATGATCGACATACGAATGCTAATATCAAAGTGCATTAAGTTGTTAGGCTGTCCATTGGCATACCTATACTTCATATATATAAAAGTATTCAATATCAATTATCAATTAATTCTATATCATTTATATATTACTTATTTTGATTTTAGATGTAGGTGTATTTTCATGGAAAGCTTTTGTTTTCTCAACCAGAAAATGTTGCTATATTACCTTATAGTTAACATCTCATGTAGAATCCTCTTTTGGCCTTCACTCCGAAATGTGATTAATGTAGAAATTACGAAATATGCTGCTCAGTTAAAATCTGTGAAATCTTACCTTGTTGACGTTATCTATCCAATAGGACAGGTGATGAAATGTTTCCCGATCTGTAATGTCGTACACAACCACTATACCCTAAGGTTTGATGGAAAAAAAAGTGAATGCAATATGTTTAAATCTAACTTTGAGTCGAATATCTCCTTACGATATGAATCAAAACATCAACCTGTATCCTCACAATAATTGACAGTACACTGGAAGGTGTTTTATATGTATAACAATAAGAATAAGATAAATTAAGGATGAAATCGATTTAATATTAGATAACGTACTCCCATGTTTACGAAACCAGAGAAATTATAAAATGTGAACGTAAATATGAAAATACTAAACTATGATTTTTAACTTCAACAATATGAAAGTATACCTTTGTTCCACGGTAATGCCACTTCGTAATGGAGTGAAATCTCTCCTGGCCGGCAGTATCCCTGTTAATACGAGATTAGTATAAAACATGTAGCTACATCATGTTTGGAGATATCATTGAGAAACTGATACCAAATGTAATCCGAAACTGAAAATACCAAGTAAAAGTAAACTTTATTTAGGTAGTTGTGGTATTTGCGAATTCAGGAAAGCCATTTCAATAATCTGTAAAGTTTTTGTGTTATAACTATTTTAACAATTTCAGACAACTGTGAAAATATTTCATAATAAAATTTGAATGGAATCATTAATGTCACATCAGAATGTATTTGTTTGCTTTTCCATCTCTTCAATGTATATTTAACGACCAGTTATCATTGTCCAGTTTAATTAATTTGATTTGAACTTATTATTCTATTTATAGAACAGTACGTATTTGCCTTAGATACACTTACATAAATGGTTTGAATATACTACCTATGCAATTCAGTATGTAACATTCTCAGTATATATAGGTAACATATTGTACTAAAGAACAAGTAAACTGGTACCTTCTCATCACTACATTTTGTTTCGTTTCGCGAAGTCAAGTGATCTGAAAGATAACCTACCATAAATGAAGCTGTATAAAGGCACCGTCGACCTCGAATGATTTTCTCACAAAATCCAAAGCTGAAATAAGAATCAGCAGACATTCAACACAATGTATTCAAACTGTTACACATTACATCAACATAAACAAAATCATTTTATTTCTACAAATTTACGAGGACACCCGTTAAAAAGTACCCGCGACCACACTCCATTTAGTCTAAATGCATGGACAATTATCACTGTGGCAAACTAATATGTATAAAATTAATTGCAGCATATATTACTGATTTAAAATATGAAGTCTTCGTTGCTGTATGACTGTTTTCAAATTATCAGTTTGATTTCTGATTTCAGATAAGGCTGAGTTACTTCTACATTTGACATAACAACGACCAGACTGGTTTTTTCTCCTGGAAGGCCAGAATTCTAGGCATTAAATTTTATTTTAATTTAACAACTGTCGCTCAGATTTTCTCTGTTCTCAAACTTTCTACGGTATTGGCATTTCAAGAAAAAAGCTTCATAGTTTGTCAACTCACCAACAGTCGGCCGGGTTTTCTCCTGAAATGGTTCAGATATAAGTGTCCTCAACAAAGCAGTCTTACCGACCGACGCGTCACCAATGATAAGAATCTTGTATGTCGCCTGACAGGCGTCCTCATCTAGGGGCATAATGCCGATAAAGGGCTTCACATTTGGAAGTTAATAGTTCCCATAATATCCTAATAATAGAATCGAATTCCTTCAGTTGTCTGTCGTTGTCATTCCATACTTTGCAGTTTACCTAGGTAATAAACAAAACATTTCAGTGAAAGAATTTCTAATAATTATAAATTGTAACTTCCACGTAAATCACAATTATTTTTAAACGAATATTCCTCGAGTACACGGGTTTATGAAATATATACACATATATATATATACATAAGTATATCATTGCATAACAATCATACGTGTAGATTAAGTTGATATAGATAAGCTTCATACATAGAGTATGGTAGACCTACATACCGTTCAGCATGCTTCCTGAATATTTCCTAAAGATTTTCATCAATGTGTTTCTGTCCTTTGAGAAGTCATTAGCTATCTAAGAGGTGGGTCTTCTCTCCAGCTATTATATATAAACATTATCATTGGTAGAAATTGGGCTGCCGACAACTGTTTATATCTGACAGTAACATACGCCGTGCGTGTCACTATCATCATCTATTTCATTTGTGTATTCGTAAATAAAATGTCTACATCTGCTGTGGTTCAAAGAAAGGTCGACGGTGAACCAAATGTCTGTAAAAACGGTATGTGCGCTTCCGCATGATAGAGACGATTGAAACATGTTATAGCGAACACCTGTCGCTCGACCATCAGCAACATTCTACAGGTTCCTCAGGGACCAATTTTCACGGTGTTCTTTCTATACTTCAGGTGAATTTGTATTTCATTCCAGGCTTGTTTGTAAAGGAACATATTCTTTAACCATACACTGATCATGAGACATACTGAGACAAATAAAATACTCATTTTCATCAATGCAGAGTCATTTCATTTAATTTCGTTATTGTATGTATGTATGCTTTAAGATATATGAAAATGTCAAATCAGACAGCTTCAATCTGGAAAACAACACGGGCGGAGCAATGGTAATGGACTTTTTTCACCTAGGCGTTCAGGGTTCGATTCCCTCAAATAGACATGAAAATGTATGGGGGTCACATGCCCGACCAAGAGGTTTTCCTCGGTTACCCCACTTCCTCCCACAATATTTCATCGTGCACTTCCATCAGCTGATCGTTTGTTTCACAATTGTTGAAAGTTATTAAAAAATCAAATTCAAGAAAGTAATTAAATTCATAACACCTTTGTGAAGTGATATCTCGACAGGGCATTGTCCAGTTCATACCAATATTATGACATGATAAAATGGGAAACCTACATTCGCAATCTGATAAAATACAAAGTATAAAAGATAGCAATCTTTTGTAGACTTAGCAATTCGGAGCAAGCACTTACTTGAAAAAAAAAGAAACATTTCACAGAGAACAAACTTACTTTTATTCCCCATTATCCTGTCATCATCGTTTTTCTGAAGATATAAATGTACTCGTCCATCTTCCATAGACATTATTCTTATTTTAACTCGAAGATATGCTACTTCCCGGTCTACTGTGTTTTATCTTCTTACTCATACAGATAGGGACATTCTTGATTTTTTTTTTAATAAAGTATGCTTTCGAAATATATATATATATATATAACAACGTGACAATTTCTAGCTTAAAATAATACTAAAATATAGAACGTTTGAAAATGAACTTTATTATTTAAAATTTGAATTGAAACTTTTACCAGATGTTGTAATATGATAAGTCAACACAAACATGGCTGATGTAAGAATCCTATCCAAAATCAGAACCCCATTACAGAAATCCTCTGTTTTAAAATTTTGACATCTTGACAAGTATGCCTTCAGAGATGGAGATAAAGTTATTCAAAACTTCCGAGAGTAAATACCTCATTGTATCTAGTTGTTATAAAACATGCAGAGCACTTACCTGCCAGGATATTTTGCACAGTGCAAAACGAATGCCAACATGAGTACAGATGTGTCATACATAGAATGATACAAGCTGCAGCTTGCATACCTATAAGTATACTCATTCGATAACATATGGTACAGGTGCACCATGTCATTAATAAACTACCTAGTGATCAATTGTCATATCAGGTGTAGTAGAGAGTTTAATATGTTAATTTACAGGTATGTACATAGGTATAGCTGTTGGTCTGTATTATAGACCATGTCTTACAATTTCAATTTTTTTTGTGATAATATAACCATTTAAATTTTTTAGCATTTGTATTTTATCTTTTAGTTTGTTTGATGTTATTTCCTTTTGGATCGCTGTGTCTTTCACTGGTTTATAGTTCTAATGACATCTTATGTGTTGACGGGCCGTTAAGAATGTGATAATAATATTATCATAGATATAGTTAATTCATAATTCATAAAAGACTTTTGTTAAAATATGTGTGGAAAACGTAACTCTTAATTTTATCATGATGTATTTACGAATACGTAAACATAGACACATCACAGCGATGTATAGACGATGTTAATTTTATTTAGTTTTAATTCGTTTAGTGCTAGCAAAATAAATTGTTATCAAGTAACTTCAGAATATGTAGAATATTTTAGATTAACTTCATATATGTCTTTACACATTTACATATTATTGATAAATTAACTACAATTTAGATAAAAATCAATAGGTATAGACATGAAAATAAAAGTTAGTATGAAGTGTAAATACATATGTGTGTGTCGAATGAAAAGTAAAAATCATCATAAATAAACAGGTCAATGATTTTTACAAACGACAAGCAAGCGAATAGCACCTAATGATACGAATACATCATTAGACAGAGTAGAGTCAAACAATGAACTAGGCTGCAGCATTTAACTGTTTGAAAAATATTGCCACTGAGGGACATCCAATGTTTTCGAAAGAAAATGTGTAAATCTAGATAGGGAGAAACACTAGACCCATATATCTGCACATTTTATTCTTCATATCATTTATATTACAAATATATAGAAAAAGTACATGTGCATATTCTGAACCGTGGTGCTATGCGAATGAATTAAAACGTGGTATGCAGGTTATAGTTAACCGCGGGGACTAAATGCCCAACAGCAGTGTCATTGACAGATACAAGTATATACAGTGAATTCGTCCGTGTAATATTTTTTCCATATATGTATCATTAGTGTAGCATTTCCTGAAGCGGTCATTGACAGCACCAGTTAGAAAACTATGGACTGCCATAATATCGACCGTACACTGTATACGTTGACTTAGTCTTCATGTTTATCATTCAAGATATCAGGAAAGAAAATTGAAAATATCATGCAGTTTGAATATAAACTACTTTTGCATCCGCATAATAACTAATGTTCCGCAAGTAATATTTTTCTTTTTTTTTCAATTTTTCTTTCATTTTTTTTCTTGCAAAATTATCAACATTCGTACACTCTTGTGCTCCCCTCTCTAAATGGGATCAATAATCAATACCAAACAATAAAACACAACAAATGACAAATTCATTGTTAACTAACAACGAAACAATGCACCAGTACATTAAAGAACATTTTCTTCAGGTCCGTAATTTCGAAAGTTCTTGTAACACAACCAGTAGAAGATTGGAGTGTGACGTTTCGATGACTACACGGTCACCTTCATCTTTTAACACAACCAGTAGATGGTTAGTGTGACGTTTCGATGACTACACGGTCACCTTCATCTTATAACACAACCAGTCGAAGATTAGAGTGTGACGTTTCGATGACTACACGGTCACCTTCATCTTATAACACAACCAGTAGAAGATTAGAGTGTGACGTTTCGATGACTACACGGTCACCTTCATCTTATAACACAACCAGTCGAAGATTAGAGTGTGACGTTTCGATGACTACACGGTCACCTTCATCTTATAACACAACCAGTAGAAGATTAGAGTGTGACGTTTCGATGACTACACGGTCACCTTCATCTTTTAACACAACCAGTAGATGGTTAGTGTGACGTTTCGATGACTACACGGTCACCTTCATCTTATAACACAACCAGTCGAAGATTAGAGTGTGACGTTTCGATGACTACACGGTCACCTTCATCTTATAACACAACCAGTAGAAGATTAGAGTGTGACGGTTCGATGACTACACGGTCACCTTCATTTCATATGAGATGCTATGAATCTCGTCTCGAAGTTATAATGTTTTGCTTACGAAGATCATTTTCATAACACATCCTATAAAATAATGATATATTGTATATCAATTCCATGGGTGTCATTACATAAAGGAGAGATTATCTAGCATAATAAAAGTAACGGATTCATCACATAGTCCGCGCATGTTATCTCGTGAATTCGTCCAAGGAATAATTTTGCACATACAATGTTTATCACTAGCTACTCCAGTGTTATATCTATTTCAATATCATAATGCGAATAATGATGATTCGTCATGAACTAAAAATTGCGCAAAAATATGGCTGGGCCCTTTTGATTTAGTCCTCAACACCAATAATAGACTTTATTTGTCACTGAATACATCGTCTCCACGACTTAAAAAAGTCACACACGTAAATAGCTCTATTAAATGTATATCTAAACCTGATATGCACTTATCTATATTGCGTGAGTTAACAGCAACAATACAACACATGATTCATTTCGTAACACATCAACAAATATATATAAACAATTATACAGGACATCTTATAGGAAAACAATAAGTTGTCTACTATTTCATGACCCGATAAGCATTTACATTGTTGTAACTTGTAACACACCCTCATTTGTATTATAGTTGTGTACTTGTAGTTACGGCAGGTTTGTCTGCACTTTTTTTCTGTTCTACACTATTAATGTAGGACTTAAAACATCTGATGCATTCAAACCACGTTTGCTAAGACATGAATCATACGCGTGTCTTTGGTGTCAGGTAAGAATATATACATTTTAGTCCAGGTTAGATGGTGCCGAATACCGTGATGTCTCGTGTGTTTATATCACCAGATGTAGAAATATAGAACTCAGATTTCATCGTCTGAGTTAATATACCAGGAGATGATTAACAATGACAATGATATTTCATATTGGTTTGATATTACAAGTTTCGTTATCTAAGGATTGTTCAAAGGGCACGCAATAGAATTTTTTTTTTAATAAAAATGTACAAATTCATAATCTGATAGAGTAGAGATAATTAATCAAATGGCATCGTAGAACTTTTTCGTCTTTAAAATAAAATATTAGTTAAGAAAATATCAACCTGTCTGTAACTCTGGTAAAATATTTAGCCGCAATTATACCATTCGGCTAGAGAGAACTTCTCTGTAGCTGGATTGGTTGAGCGTCAGACTGGTAAGCCAGGGGACCCGAGTTCGATTCCTAGCGGAGGCATTGAAATAAATAATGACCTCTGTTACATGTCAATATAAACTCGAAACTCGAAGTCATTCAAAATTAAGGGTGGGGATATGAACCTAGAAACAAACATATCCAGCTTTGTATCGCACAAAGAAATATGGGATCACCATGACGACCGTGAAACGTGTCCATCAACATGCATAGTTCAGAAAACTTGTTACGAATTTGCTCGTAAATTGATGACGTCTTACATGAAAACAATGAAATTAGGATTATGCCCCTGAATACCGAATCAACCGTGACACGAAAAAGAAAAAGTTTGAGATGAGGGTTGTTGTTCGGTGGACAGCTGTGCATGTTGATTTCATTATAGGAAATGGTAAAAATGCAGAATGGTTTGTCGTGTCTTTGATTTTCAATTTTGTTGGGCGTTTTCAATGAACACAGTGTGCCAACTCAAATGGGTTTACATCTTACCTATCTATCATTACATGATTAATCATATGTCACATTAAAGAAATCGACTTAAAATACAATATGTAGTCCGGGGCGTCTGATGTAACACCCCATGTCGCATATCACTATCTCTAGGTGTCAAATAGTATATGCTCGGTTTACACTCGTCAGAACCTCACTTACGAATGTCATCAAGTGTAACTGAAATAACAGACAAGATCACTTGAACCCAAAACTGATAACATGTTAGTGCAACCTCTTGTGCTGCATCGCCAATCCGTTAACAAACTAAAGTTACATGTTAAAGATATATTTAGATCAAATACGATTTTGTGGGTGAGAAATACGTTACGCCTTGGAATTTCTTGTGTCATCCAACTCTCCACGTTGCTTTCTTAACAGAATCACCCCCCCCCCGTGCCATTCTAAACGTCAGAACCTCCGCAACAGAATAAAGGTCGATAATAATAACCCCATTTGCTTCATTGGTTTCTATGGTGATTTGATGTTGAAAAAGGAAAGAAATAATTAATATATTACACGAATTCGCGTGTTTGAATGGTTATTTGGCCACTTCAACATGATCAAAACACAGATACTGAGTGGAATGTCAGCAACATTGATATATACCAGATAAGTACTAATTAATAAGACTAGCAAATTAATTTATCTAAACCTGGTCAATGATGGAGGTGTAGCGGAAAGCGACTTCATGAAGGGCGGTCGAAGGTGTGATCATGCATAAATTGCCAAGCCAAACATAGCGTAACGTTGGTTATAGATCAAGGAATACTACTGACTAGGAGTGAACTGGCTGACTTCTAGTCCTCGATTTTATTTCATACATACCAAATTTAAATTCATTTAAACATTTAGATGGTTCAAAATCCCACACATGTATTTCAAGTTCTTCTGAAATTATCAGACATATGGACAAATATATTGATTCATGGGGTGAGAACTTATCCACATCTAAATCGTCATTTCATTCAATTAATATTGGTTTTCCTTAGTCGCGTCCTAGGTTTCAATTTAGACCATTAGCAACACTGACGAATCCTAGAAGGACGAAACAGCTGTATGATGTAGCATCACAGACGAGTCCTAGAAGGATGAAACAGCTGTATAATGTAGCATCACTTACGAGTTCTAGGAGGAAACAGCTGTATGATGTAGCATCACTACCCATTATCAAAATGAAAAGTTTAACTCGCTCATCAAAAAATAAGACTAATGAGAGTCTTAAATGGTCTCTAGGTTTATTCATAAATCAGATTTCGGGTGGATGATATCAGGGTTTATCGACATATACTGGAGTGTTGACAAGAAATGTTGCGGCGCTTCGGCAATAGGTGTGTCACACACCTTAATGCGATCGGTGTCTCCACACCTTTGCAAATTTTGGGTGGTTAATTACACGGACGGGGTTTGGAATACAGATTGAATGTGTCACCAATACGATTTATATAGAAACGTTTACTCCCCTCATGTAGATTTCGGTACATGTCTATAGTGTAGACGATAACGGCGGGCATTTTAGGTAATTTTAGGGCGTGTTATTTCACCACCTTATCACATACACAGCTCGCAGTGAATATGTACGAACTGACCAATCACACGGTCAATGTTGTGTGACCTTTAAGTGTCAAATTACCCAGGTCCTTATTTGTATTAATATCCTATATGTATTCAGGCAAAATGAGGACAAGCAGGTCCTTAAATATAATAGTAGTCTCGAATACCTCTCACGTATGTGAAATTTCATTTCTGAAATAAAAGCTTCCAGTTAAAGTTGCATGTATCATAAGATACATTTTGGCGATTGGTATTCCATAAATAACAGTCGAATTTCGTTATCTCGAACTCGTATAACTCAAAAACCCTGTTTAAATCGAAGTATTTCATCGGTCCCATATCTCACACTGAACCTTCGAATTCATTTCGCTCGAATACTCGGATAACTCGAAATTTTCCCACGGTCCCACCGACTTCGCGATAACGAGGTTCGAATTTATATCCAAATACTAGTTCGCGTTTCCTAAACTTAAAAACATGAAACAATTTGATCTTGTTCTTGTATTTGTCGGAGGTTTCCCTGTAAATCTTCTTTGGTCCTTTGTACATATATTAGCCAAGTTTTATTGAATTTAGTCAGAAAATTAGATTCGGTTGGAAAGCATGAAGTAAAGCGCAGATATGCAGCTGGTACTACGCATATGTAATATATTTCTATATCAACTTCGACAAATCAAAACACATTCACTTGGCTTACATTAAACTTTATCTTAAATTACCGAATGTCTGAAGCAAACTAATATTCTAAGTATCATTCGGTACAAGAGAGGTTGATTGACAGCTGGCGAAAGTGCCGACTCTCTTACTAACATCAAGGAAACGTTTCAAAGCAGCTGATAACTAGTCAACTTAAAACCAATGTTTGAAGCACATAACTTTAAATTCGTCTCCGAATATGATAGTCATTCCTTGATAAGAACCGACATTATATCATTCAATGTCTACACACATGTAAATTAGAGGCATATTATAATACCAGTACAGAATTATCAAAAAGACGAACCGCATAACATACATAATGAGTGTTCATACTCTAAGATACGTTCTCTGTAACCTTCTAATGTATTCGGATATATTGTACACTAAATCTTATATATGTAATGATAACGCATATTTTGTAGTCAGAACTGCTTATAATTGGTTCATTACCACTGATAAAGTTCTACACGTCGATGCGAGCATGTTTGTCTCGGACGTACGGTGTCTGTGTTTTATCGTTAGCCACAAACATGTTTAGTCTTCCATTCCACCTGTTACATTATCATAAGGCCTGTGACATCGTTATGTAAGACGCTGGCTAATGGGGCCGTACAGAACATAGTTAGAATATTCTCAACAGAAAACATAAGTACTGACTGGAATTGAAGGTCAAGACAAAAAACAGAAAATATACTTACTTTGGTACGTCATAGTCTTACAAGATATAATCCATGAGAACGTATCGTGACAGTACAAAATGGGAAAACCCACAGCCTAGGATACGTGTGTGTACGGATAGCAGGGATGTTGAGTATAGAACCACAGCCTAGGATATGTGTGTGCAGATAATAGGGATGTTGAGTATAGACCCACAGCCTAGGATATGTGTGTGCAGATAATAGGGATGTTGAGTATAGACCCACAGCCTAGGATATGTGTGTGTAAGGATAGCAGGGATGTTGGGTATAGACCCATAGCCTAGGATATGTGTGTGTTGATGGCGGGAATGCTGAGTATAGACCCACAGCCAAGGATATGTGTGTGTGTTGATGGCGGCGGGAATGCTGAGTATAGACCCACAGCCAAGGATATATGTGTGTTAGACCCACAGCCTAGGATATATGTGTGTTAGACCCACAGCTTAGGATATGTGTGTGTACAGATAGCGGGGGTGCAGAGTATAGACCCAAAGCCTAGGATATGTGTGTGCAGATAGCGGGGATGCTGAGTATAGACCCGCAGCCTAGGATATGTGTGTGTACAGATAGCGGGGATGCTGTGTATAGACCCACATCCTAGGATATGTGTGTGCAGATAGCGGGGATGCTGAGTATAGACCCACAGCCTAGGATATGTGTGTGTACAGATAGCGGGGATGCTGTGTATAGACCCACATCCTAGGATATGTGTGTGCAGATAGCAGGGAATACTGCGTATAGCCATACAGCCTAGGATATGTGTGTGTACAGATAGCATGGATGCTGAGTATAGACCCACAGCCTAAGATATGTGTGTGTAGATAGCATAGATCCTGAGTATAGACCCACAGCCTAGGATATGTATGTAGGATGTGTGTGTTGATGGCGGGGATGCTGATTATAAACCCATTGTATAGGATATATGTGTGTGTTGATGGCGGGGATGCTGATTATAAACCCACATCAAGCGACACGTGTGCGTGTGATTTGCTGATGAGGGAACGGATACAACTACTTATTCAAATCATATATACGATGATTTAATCGGAGTCAAAAAAGAATACCTTCAAAAAAATAAAAAAAAAGAAAGAAAGAAACAATGACATAATTTTGCCAGAATCTACAAAAAACAGATACTTAAATTCTCCTGGGGAGTTTCTGTTGATCTTTATATATGGGTGTAACATTGACAATCACTGGCTTGTTGAACCAGTTTTGAATAGATTTCAAGTCGCACAGTCGTATGTTCATTATTTCTGACACAAAATACGTGTATAAACATATGTGGTTTGTAAAACGACCGGATTTCATATGCTCTCATGGCTATTAAGCAAGGTACTTGTGCGATTAAAATGAAATATAAACTTATATGTTAATAAGAACGTAAATGATAAGAGGATGTAAACATACATATGTACATCAGGCATGTTGACATGTTGATAATAGAAGTACCCGTCCAGACTGTTGTCAGCACCCTCAACCAATTTCGGCATGTTGCTGATGACGGAAATATATATACTAGGAAATATGAGTCGTCATAATTGGCAGAATATTTTAGTAAGGAGAACAACACTATCTCTTATTTCAAATTGCGCAGCAGATGGAAGATCTCTTGGTGTCACATTTTAAATTGTCCACGCCGAAATACTAAACACAATGGCAGAACAGTTCTCGGATTCCTTAGACGTGTCACTTACATTGACTATTGGTTAAACATTAAAATGTAATTCAACTTCTATATTTTCAACATTAATATAAAAAAATCAAAGAATTTTTAATTTATGCTGTAAGGGAAATCGATACGATATTCTTTGTAATGCGACAAGATTTTTTAAAAATGAGTTTTACAAAGCCAGTATGATTTTAAGACCACACCTAAATATATTTACACCTTTAAGACAATTATTGTTCATTATTCATTCCTGGTTCAGTTTAGTATTATTTTTGATTTATTTTATCTGTGTCGGTCATCGGAGTCCAATGAAAGACTGTCATATAAATCTATGTTCGGATATCACAACTTTTGTAACTAAATGTATCTTATCAAAACATGTAAGATAATCACACAACAATATTCGTTTCTTTCATCCGTTTTTTCGTTCGTTTAATGGAAATACATATTCTATAGAACTACTGTAAAAAGGGAAAGAAAAAGATTTTTGAAATCTCCATGTAATACATTATTTATAAGCATCTCTTTGTTTCCTCATATTTTGGGCAGACAATCATGTCTCTATTTTTCATTTTATTGTCTCAACAGATCCTCTTTGTCCAGTTATAAATAATTCCTTGTGATGGGCTGGTATGTTTTTTTTTTTTTTTTCATTTTTTCATTTTATGAACACAAACTTCCGTATATTTTTTTCCTGAGTCATCTGGAACATGTACAAAGTATCCTTAGTTCTAAGCGTAAAGAAGTTATTTTTGAAACTTCCATCCCATCCCTATATAACAATAAAACGCGGTTATACCGTGCCGTAATGTAAACAAACTTTCCTCGGTGGCTGATAGTTCTCTTCCGCTTGTGTTTTTCATGTATACCTATCATTTAGATAAACGCCCGTCGAATTTCGACCCGCGGCAACCCAGCAGGCACGTGGGGCACTAATGAAGCAGGTAAGGTCAGATATCGAGGTCGGCCATTTTCAGATAAGATGTATAGTTATATTGAGTGTTATCGCCATAGTAACGAGTTCAGTAGCTTGGTAACCAGAGCCAATTCATTTCATGGACCGTTTATTATAAAATGATCATGTCATGCTCTGAACGTACGGAAATAAAATTGGTATTACAGTGTTACCACACGGTGATAAATCAAAGGTTAAATATCAAAACTGGGTTTCAAAATAGAAGACATTAAAACAGAGATTCTTTTAAAGCTATTTTTCGACTTCGTTCTGAAGTACAGAATTGAAAAATGGATGTTTCTATGGTCGTCATTAACATTGGAATACTGATAATCTGATAAACAGATGATGGTGGTGACCGTATGATAAAACCATACTTTACAATTTTGTAGATCGTTCTCAGCCAAATGTAAAACTATAGTATTATATCTCCGACTCATATGTTGGAAGTCCAAAACACCGTAATAGCAATAGTAAAATATGTTCCTGTATACAGAAGAATTCTTGTTTGAAGAGCCGAATCACCCGTCACTTGATCTACATATCCACTCCTATAGTCATTGTCATTACAACGGCTCGCTAGTACAGTACGTTAGTACCGGATAGAGGAACCACCAAAACACTGAATTTATTCGATTGATACCATTCTCGATACTCTACGTGTTAAGCATACGTTCGCTCCTTGCACCCCTGGAAAATGTTATGGAAAAATTGAAAGCACAAGCGAAGTGATTAGATTGATTCCAGAAAAAAAAAAACCTAACCAATCACAGACTGATGCGCTCCTTTTGAAGATTACAAAGGCGAGGCATCCCAACTTCAACGACATTACAATATACCGTTGTGCAACCTAGAGATTCGTTTGATGTACATCAAAGGATCAAACTAGTCTTTTCCACAAGGTGTCGCACGCGGAACCTTCAGTTTAGCCATGACATTTTCCAGGGGTGCAGAGATCGAAAGTGATTGTAACCCCTGGAGTATCGCACAGGCACTCGAGGCCAGGATATTATTTTTTAAACGTTGATTTTTGTTTTAGCACTCATGACTGACGTTATTTAAACGAAATATCAGCAGAATTCAAGTTTATGTGCCGGTTGACAAATCCGAGGTCCACGGTCATTAAAAATACACAAGGCAAGCAACTCCAGATTTTAAAAAATCGACCCCTCGCTTGGAAACTGGCTCAAAAAAAGTAGTTATGATAAGTTCCTTGTAAAACAATATGTATCCGTAGGTAGTGTGTATATTTACCTTTTATTTGGTGCATAACATTACAGGCAACGAGAAATTCACAATACGTACATGAGATTAACATCTCAATAATCGGAGATTTTATCGTCCATGTAATTATCTTTGACGGAAGTAACATGCCATTTCAAGGGCGGTCACTCCGACTTTTTGGGAGAGGAGTTGATAGCACTATACCAGTGAACAGGTAAGAAAGGTTCCGATGTCATTACGCGCGTAACTTCAAAATAGATATTTTTATTTCTGCAAATACATTTGCGGGGATGGAAAAATAATGGCTGGGCATTTAAAAAAAAAATAGAAAAAAAATCATTTAATTTCCAATTTCTAAGTTAATATATTTCCCCCACGATATTTTTCATAAATTGCGCCCTTTTTTCATTATCTGCATGATTTTTTTTCTATTTTTTTTTTGAAAAAAAATTCTCATTACCGCCAGCTTGACTGAAAGTTGATGCATTCTGTATAACCCCTTACCATGATATTGTATCCGAGTTGGCAAATGTGGACTTTCTTTGCCCAGCCATTATTTTTCCATCCCCGCAAATGTATTTGTAGAAATAAAAATATCTATTTTGAAGTTACGCGCGTTCGGAACCTTTCTTACCTGTTCACTGGTATAGTGCTATCCGGAACTCCTCTCCCAAAAAGTCGGAGTGACCGCCCTTGAAATGGCATGTTACTTCCGTCAAAGATAATTACATGGACGATAAAATCTCCGATTATTGAGATGTTAATCTCATGTACGTATTGTGAATTTCTCGTTGCCTGTAATGTTATGCACCAAATAAAAGGTAAATATACACACTACCTACGGATACATATTGTTTTACAAGGAACTTATCATAACTACTTTTTTTGAGCCAGTTTCCAAGCGAGGGGTCGATTTTTTAAAATCTGGAGTTGCTTGCCTTGTGTATTTTTAATGACCGTGGACCTCGGATTTGTCAACCGGCACATAAACTTGAATTCTGCTGATATTTCGTTTAAATAACGTCAGTCATGAGTGCTAAAACAAAAATCAACGTTTAAAAAATAATATCCTGGCCTCGAGTGCCTGTGGAGTATCGAGGATAGTTTGATACCTGGTCCTGGTTATCATTAAGGCAATAAGATGGAATTTATGTTAATCTTCAATATCTCTGTAACT